AAATTGAAGCTTATATCTTATTGAATCAGAATCCGAAGGTAATAAAAAATAACTCGGGCAGAAGGGCAGTAAAATCAAAAAACGAGTTATCACCACGGACGGATAATACAGCACATTGTTTATAATTCTCTATAAAAATCAACTTATATTTTGTACAGCATATATTTTTTTATAAATTTTTGAAAATTGCTCTTAACGTTGAGTCTTATGGCAGAATAAATTTTAAAACTTGAATATCTCAGTTCGAACATGTCGAAAATCTTCCTGAAATTCAACATTTTTTTAGTTCCCACGCCATTTATCGGAAAACGAAGGCCTTAATCGAAAAATTTTACTCATGCAAAAATTTTCTCTCACCAATTTGAGAGACAACAGCGTTTAATTTAAAATTTTTGCTTCAATAATAAACAAGATATGGATAAAAATACAAAATAAGTCATTTTTCGGCCAGCGATTTAACATTTAACAACTAAAACAGTAAAAAGGAGCCATGCCTTTGAAATGTGAACTATTTTTTTATATCTTTATCAGAACAAGTTTTTTTTTTAAAACAATTTACTAATATTCAATCTAGTAACAGCCAATGAGGTTAAAGAACAACATACAGGGACAATTACCATTGCCAACCACAGTACCAACTTAAAACGGAGGCGGCAATTCACTCCAAATTTGAAAACGACAGGTAAATTTCTATATTTATCAAAATGTAATAAAAAAATATAAATACAACTCAAATTATTAATATCTGACTTTTTATTCAGAGCATTAGAAAATTCATTGATACGAACCATTTCTAGAAAAACACGCTTATTATAGTTTATTTCACTGTCCAAAGCTGTGACACCGTTAAAATTCATTTTGTGGCCTGTACTTAATGTATGTTCTGAAAGAGCACAGGACGTTTTTTTTAAATTACAATCACTTTTGTGGGATGTAAGTCTACCTTTTAGAGTACGGCCTGTTTGCCCAATGTATGTCAGGTTACAATTAAAACAATCAATCTAATACATAGTTAACTAAAATAGGTGAAATTATGGACCCCATTGGGGTACCAAAGATTTGCTTGTATAAACCCCTTCAATAACACAATAATTAGAATAAAAAATAAACTTTAAAACTATTAAAAAATTATCCAAATCCAAACTTGAATTCTCATTAATTACATTCCAATTTTCTGTTATACTAGATAAAATTCTTGTTAATGGTAAATTTATAAAAAGTGACACAACATCAAAACTGACAACTACAAATCCCTCTGGTAATTGATAATTATTAATAAAATTACTAAAATCGAAAGAATCCTTAACATTAAAATCATTGCTAGTATTATAAGATTTAGTAAGTATATCTGTTAAATATTTAGTTAACGAACCGTTTGGACAATTAATAGTTGACACAATTGGACGCATTGCCAGTTCAGGTTTATGTATTTTAGGTAAGGCATAGAAACGAGGAGCACATGAATTATAAAATGTCAAAGCTTTAAATTCAACGTCAGAAATTTGTCGAATTTGTTTAAGTTTCGAAACAAGTTTATTAGCTTTTTGTTGCTAAGAGCAAGTTGGGTCACGATTAAGTTTTTTGTAATACATCATTCAAAAGTTCTTCACATTTTAACAAATATTGGTTCTTATACATAATAGTTGTAACATTACCCTTGTCACTTCTCGCAACAATAATTTCAGGATGATTTTTAAAAAATTTTTTACAAATGAGAACCTTATTTCTCAAGAAATGGTCAGCGTCAACATTGCGATGAATAAAATTTGTTACTATATTTGTGAATTGTGCCCTCAATAAATTCCTTCTATTTTCACTTTCCTCATAAATTATGTAGGTACTCAAAATCTGCCAAAAGTTTAGAAATTTTTAAATCCTTGATAGATAGACATATGCTAAATTTTGGGCCTAAAGATAAAATGAAATTGACATCTGAAGGAATGTCAATGTCAGTTAAATTTTTGCACCATTTTGGATTAATTTTAATTTTGTTTTCTTCATTACTCAACAACCTTTTAAATTTATTAAAATTTTTATTTCTAACTTCAAAGAAAATTTTGTTATATTTAATTTTTGAACGTCTTTCAAATTCATTGAAAATGTTCAATGGTAAAGTTAAACTAGACTTAATATTCTCTAACTCTTTTGAGAGTTTATTAAGGTCACAAATTGTAATTGTAATACTAATTTCTAAATTTAATAATTTTTTTCTTTCTTAGGGGTATCATTTTCTCTACCTATCCACCTCTTAGAATAGTACTCATATATGTATTGCCTTACCGATAAGGCAAAATTGGGAGTGCGTTATCATGTATGAAAATGGTATTCATTCGTAGTGTTATCGGTAACTCTTCAGGCAGATAGGTAATCTCGTTTGGAGAAATTCCAAATAATTTTTGTGTTCAATGTAGCAGGTAGTATAACAGGACCGATGAAAATACTACCAATACCAGCTCAAACATTAATCTTTAATTCATGTTGAAATCGTCTTTTACTGATTCTTTGTAGATTTTCATCACAATAAACATATTCATTATGTTAATTAAAAACAGGATTTTATTGTAGATATTATCGTCTCTATTTCGGAGTTTTTGAATACTTTGACTTAAAGCAAAACGTTACGGAGGATTTATTGGTAGGTAGGTAAAAGTTCTTGAACTTGATTCTTGAATAACTGGTCTTTTAATACTCTACTAAAGGAACTTTTTCAAAGTCAACCTCTACCGCTAAACCCCTTGCACTTCCTTGCGGAATTTCTTCGATCTTTTCCAAAATTTATTCCTCGAGCTGAATAGTTCTAGCCGTACGTTGTCCACGATTTAATGTTACAGGTAAAAAAACGTCCTGTTTCTCGAAGGCGTCTTTCCACATCAGCAAATCTGTTGTAATTTGGAATTCTTCGATTAGGAAATCTTTCAGCATGTTCGAACACTAGCACAACAATTTCCTTCACAATAACCCAATACTAGTAACTTATCAGTTTGTTCAGCAAAAGTATAAATTGCAGCCATAGTAAAGAATATATTAAAAAACAAAGTAAACTAAAATTAAATAATACCAGCTTGATACTGTAAGTACCTTTTAATTATTGTTATGAATTTGTTTCTTTGTTATGTGACACCACTGGCATCTCATACTAGACTGATCTAATTATTTTAAACTGATTTTATATTATTTAATGTGTAAAAAATGCTAATTTTACTCGAAATCCAAAAACGATATCAAAATTTCGGTAGAGTCTAAAAATCTTCTAAAATAGTGCTTATTTTTAAAAATATAAATTCTGTCTTCACTGGCGTACACACAAAAAAAGTTAAGGAATAGCCAGTGGCGCATAGGCACAAGAAACAGAACATCTTGTTATCTATTCTATATTTAGAAGGCCATACTCAGTAGGCGTACACTTTTGTATATAGGTAAGTTGGGCTAAATAGTCTTATTTTCATCCAAAGAACCTGTGGTCAAGCGTTGTCCTTCCTTTTCAGGCACATCCTGTATATACAGTACGTCAGCGGATTGAGTTTACAGAAGGACAAATGGACCAATAAATGAAAGATACGAAAAAAAGGTATTCTTGATAAAAGTTTTTGCTTCTTTATAAAATACGAATCACCACGACGAACTTCAATTCTGTTCTACAAGGTGGGTCAAAAACATAAAAATATTATTTTGCGTAAGAGTAAACATAGGTATTTAACATGCAAGATACGAAAAAAGGCGTTCTTGATAAAAGTTTTTGCTTGAAAAATGAAATAAGAGTTACGTTATCAAAAATGTAATTTTTTTATACAGGGAATAAAGTATAAAACTAAAATACGTCTTATTCAAGTGTAATTTTTAAATAGTATGAACATAATTACAACAACAATTAAGCTAAAAAAGTAAACAAAGCAATATGATGAAGATATCAAATTTCAAAAACACCACCTTCATATTATACTAATTGCCTCCTTAAATATCTGAAGGAATTTCTGATTTCTTCCTGGGATATTAAACGGACGGCCTGAATAATTCTGCCTTTGTTTTAAACGGCTCCATAGAAACATATCGGCCATGGTTAAGTCAGGGCTCATAGGGGGGCACAAAATTGGACCATTTCTACCAATCCATCTTGGATCACATCTATGGCTAATCCATTCTTTTACCTCACGAACTCAATGTGCGGGACAATCATCCTGTTAAAAATACATTTTTTGGTGAAAATTTAATGGTAAATATTCGAGTTCATCACTAAAAAATGTAAGCACGATATACTATTACAAGTGTTATTGTAAAAGTATAGGCCTATAATGCCATGGACAGATATCGACTTATTAATTTTTCAAGAAAAAACCTTTTAGCCTTTTTTCGTATCTTTCACTTTTTGTAAACTCAATCCGCGGACTGTATACAATAAATATATATTTTTCACAAATTTCGTTTAAAATTATTTTGTTATGAAAGTTCTCATGGAAATTATCCTTTAAAATTGATATGTGTCCTAAGCTTCATTGTGAAAATATGATCACTTAGATTTCAACTAACCGCCATCAACATTTTTTAGAATTTTGAACAATGCAGATGATTGCTCTTACTGATTTATCGAAATATAAAAATAAATTATTCCAAATGAATGAAACAAAACCCATATCTACAGAAATAGACGCAATTATGATAATGAATGGATATACTTAGCCTTGATAATAGGATATTACATCAGTTATAAAATAATACATAACTAAAATATACTTTTAAGTAATAACTAAATACCTAAACTAAGTAAAGTAAGCAATATACTTTGAAATTTATGTTATGCTTAATACAATAGTAGTCCGATTTAAAAAGTTTGACTGAATTTGAATGTTAGTTAAATTTGATGTGTGTGTTAAAAAACATAAGATAAACACTAAAGCAATCTGAAGGCATAGTTACAAATAAGTCATTGGTTATTTTTATTTATGTTATCTGACATTCGATGAAAGAATTTATATTAATTATGTAAGCTATTTTATTTATTTCAGATGGAAAAGAAACAAATACAACAACTTAGCATGTACTGCCCTGAAGATTTGTTTTCTGGGTATAATAATTATCTTAATTATCTTAAAAAATAGCAAAAAAAAATATATTTTTTTTAGGCAACCAGAACAAATGAGAAGAGCTATTAAGTCATTAATTGAAGTTCCTCAAAATAATTTTAAAATATTTAAAAATGGCATTTTGTGTTATGGTGATAGGATAAAAACATTATTTAATGAAATTATTCCAGACATATTTGAAACTTCTGAGGAACCTGAGAGGTAAAGAATTCTACCAATAATATAAATTAACCTAAAAGTAACTTGTAATCATAGATACATAAAAATCAGTGTCTATTAAAGTATAGCTTACTAATTATTAATGTGGTACCGCATGTTGTCTCAATAGAGCAATAAAGATGGCTATGGACGAAAAGCCATATAATATCTGTATTTTAACCACTGCCACTTATTCTCACCGACATTTCCTAGAAGACATATAGCAGGGTGATTCTAAAATATGTAGCCACACTTAATGGGCGGAAACTGGATACCAAAATGCACCCCTAAAGCTCTTAAAGTTGAAACAAAAAAAAGTAAAAATACAAATGTCTTCTAAATGTCTGAAGTATTTTTTTCAAATTTGGCACACGACTAATGCTAATAAATAGACATGTTTTGAAGTGAATATCAATAAAATGCATTGTCGGTATGGGGGTAATATAGGGGTAGTCGCTGTTTTTATTTATACTCCATATTTTGATGGCTTGGACAACATCATTGGACAGATAATTTAGTTTTAAAAGGTTTTTTGGTATGTACGATTAATATTAAACGAGATAATTTGATTGTATTATATATTTTAAAGTAAAAAACGAACGGTAAATAAGGTACTATTAAATGTATTAATTCTTATTATTAGTAATTAATTAAATTGATAATATTAAATGACAATATCAACAAAATTTATTATTAAAAAAATGCTAAAATTAAATATTATTCTCAAAATGCCTGAATCCTGCCTTAAAGAGTCTTCGTCTAAAATTGTTCCTCACTCGATTCGAAATTTTAATGTTATTGTGAAGGTCATTTACTGGATTTCGTACAGGAACTAGATATTTTCACAAGAACGTCTTTTTACTTATTTAAAACCAAAAGTTAATTATTTTTTTGAAAAAAGTGATCAGTATCAGTGATCGACTTTACAACGAGCCCAAGTTTATTACACAATATTAAATAGAACAGGCAGAATACCGTTATTAAGACAAAAAAATTATCTCGGTTCCTATTGATCGGATCGAGACGCTTTTTTTTTTTAAAGATTCATGTTTTCTAAGCACTATTTGATGCAATTGGTTTGAAATCTGTATATTAAAAAATCACCGAGAAAAGGTTTTTTTATTTGGTTTTTTGTTAAGAGGGGAATAAAGATATTTTTTGAAAACAGACCTTCACCCAAGCATAGTCTTTTCAAAAACTACACTATTTTCTGAGAAAATTATATGTGGCCTATATAGATAAGGTATTGAGCTAGGAGTTGACATATTTTTTATTGCAAAATAATTTGTATTATTGAAGTTATGGATAAATAAAGTATAATAACAAATTAAAATTTTATGTCATAGATCTTTATTATAATTTTACATCTCCTTCGTACAGATTTGAGGAACTGACCTGCAAAATATTATGCAGTATTACCAGCAATGTCTAGATTTTTGTGAAATTATTTCTTTGGTAGCCATTTATTTAAATGTCATTAGTAAAGATACGCACCAAAGAGAACAGAACAACAAATATGAATGTTTGGAGCTTCTAGTCCAGATGGAGACAGTATCAAACTTAACCATTGAAATTTTATGGCTTATAGAAAACTGTAAAACATATTTTAATTTTTGACTTCGTTTCGCCGTGACTGAATATATATATCGCAGTCACAAAATGCTCTCATATTTGAAGAATAAAATATATGACGGAACTAAGGAAATACGTCTAGGTCTAGGTTTGTCAAATAGATCAGCATATATCATAGTATGTTACTATATCAGTAAGAAATACTTAAAGTAATAAATAAATAATAAATACAGCCCTAGCATACCTAGGTTTGTTTTCTTAAAAAGAAATTATCTTGGAAGAGCATAATGAACAGTAGATAGTTGCGCCCGGGCACAATAAAGAGATGCCGACTTTTAGTTTTTATACGGTTTCAACTATCTTCGTAAACACCATACCTAGGCATGCATATATTGTTTTCTGAAAAATAAATTATTTTTTTGGAAGAACAATAATGAATATTAAATAATGTTTGAAATTCTATGCTTTTCTGTGTGGTTTTTTGTTTGACACCTTATGTGCAGGGGTCGATTTATTAATTTTTTTTCGTTCAGATGCGGCTAAATTTTCAATAAAATTGATGTTAATAGCATTATATAATTACTGCTTACAAAAAAATACTGTGTAAGAGTAATTTTTTACATCTGTGGCTTTTGAGAAAAAAAACAATCAATATTTGTTGAACTTCCAAAATAATAATTAATTTACTGGGAGAACAGGTCACAATTAAATAATTTGTTGTAAAACAATTTTTTTTTACGATCGTTTCGGGATTATTTTTTCCCATCTTCAGATAAAAAAATAATAACCATGGATTATAATATTTTTTCTTTATGTAAAAATTAAAACAATTGGCCATCAAATATTGTTTAACATCCTTTCCTATTAACCATATAATGTAAAACAATAAAATAACTACATTTTCTTATTTCCTCTTATAGACTAGGGCGGATATGTCGAAATATACCTATGCATTTTGGAATATTGAAGAGGAAATGTCGATCACGGACAATTTTAAATTTTCAGACAGATATGTCAACTTAACGTCACATTAGTTTTTCAGTAATAGTGGTTCAAGGAACAACCAATCGCGGTGTTGTGGATTTACACGTCGTTTCGATAGAAATTAATTAGCCCAGTTACTGTAACTGAAAATATAG